CCTAACCTGGGACAGTGGTTTTAATAACAGCACAACATTTGAACAAACTGTAAACATTTGTTGCAATTGGCTTAACTCAAAAGACTGCAACAAGGCACAAAAAACAACTAATATGAAAACCATAGACACAAAGCACTGAAATAAGAGTTCTTACAATTTTAAATATTCAAATGAAAGTTTTATCAAAATGTACATAAACATGATAAAATAGCCATTTTATTGCTGTATTTCGCTTCATTTATAATTTTTGAGTTTTGTGTATTTGTAGGTCAGACATCTTGGTTTTCATGATCATCATTCAACAAGTCAATACTGAACAGAAAACTTAAAGTTGATATTTTTCTACATAGTGTGACTTTTTTATTAATTTGAAATGGAATGTGTTTTTTTCCTACATAAGAAAGAGGAAATTTCATCATAATGACTATAAACAAAAAGGCGTCATATTATCATGATCATAGATGCACAAGAACTTAATCATGTAAATGCAACAACGTAATTATCAATTGAAAGAAGGGAGGAATGAAAAAATATATTAGTATTTTGTTGTCCAAATGAACTTGCTTTGTCCACTCATTTAAATCGCTCCATTCAATAAAGATGTACGGTGGAAGATTTTTGAAGAACAGATTGCAAAAGAGGTTTTGTCTTCGAATTGTAGGAATATTCTAGTGGATGAAATAATTTATTTACTTGACTCTTATATAGTGGACTGAATAATTGTACATAGCAAGCTGAAACAAGAAAAACTAAAACTTAACAGGAAAAGTGTTTATTTTATAAATTTGCAAATATAAACGTAATATTATGAACACCACAAAGGTATAAGATTCAAATCGTTTGCATATTCATGTATTGCAATGGAACTATAACAAAGAAACTTTAACTCATGAAAAGAGTAAACTATTAACTGTGCTTTGTCAATTTATTCAGTCAGAATATGAAATATTTTTTTCAGGTCTATTTTTCATAATAAAACAAACAAGACAAAGATTTCAAATCAATATTTTTTTCTTTTATTAAGACATGTCATCATTTTATTTCAGTTAAAAGGATTTTATTTTTTGACTTTAAATAGTATTATAATTTCCAAAATAATAATAATCTTTATTGTCATATAAACAAATTAAAAACATGTTTGTGACAAAATGAAAAAAACCAAAAAAAACTCATACATGTCATATATATATTATAAACTTTTTACTACCAAACAGAATTCATTGTAACATACACATTACTGTATATTTATAATTGAAATCCATAGGATTTTATTTTGTCCCATGGGATATTAAAAATCCCATGGGATAATTATAGTCCCATGGGATTTTTTTTGTCCCATGGGACAACAAATATCCCATGGGACTACAATTATCCCATGGGACCCAAAAAAATCCTATGGGATTTAACCAAAATCCCATGGGATAATGGTCAATCCCATGGGATTTGCCTTATCCCATGGGATATTGAAAATCCCATGTTTTTCTAAATCAAATTACAGAATATATATAATAATAACAGTAGAAAAGCAATGAAATTATTGAATCCCATGTAATTCCGCACATTTTGGTTATATACACGACATTGTAGGTCTAAGGAGAGGCGGCGGCGGATTTGCAAATGAGTGTTTTGCAAATTAAAAGTGTCCAGTGTTTCAGTATTTTCAGAAGAAAAGAAGATCTTTGAAAAAGTTTACGATGGACCACGGATAACGGACAACGGACACAGGACGACGGACGACAAATAAACGCAAAATCTCATATGGCTTTTAGGCATAGTGAATCAAAAAGTTAAGCAGAAATTACCAAAAATATTGAACAGTATAAAAGACCACACCACGCACTCGCAACTGATTCCTGCAGGAAAATAGACGCACAAACAAACACAACGAACATCACAAAACACGTCAGTGTATGATGGGAATAGTTTACGGAATAAGATCAAATTTTGAGAAAATGCATGCGCCTGATCAAAAAGTGCATATGTAACTTGAAAAATTATTGAGGTTGAATGAAAATTTTTGTATGAAAACTGTCAAATAATCAATACTATAGTAGTATTTGTAATGTATTTTAGCTATTTGCATGATACCGAAAATAACATCAAGCAAACCTTGTGCTTTACTAATTATGACAAAGAACTGAACAGGAAAATTTATATTGTGTTTTTAATAATTCAAGTTATATAGGGCTCGGCAGGTTGGTGTTAAACTTGGTGTGGTGATTTTTATTACATTATACACTAGTAGGCATTAATGTTATAATTTGTTTTTACAATTTCACAAAAATGAAGAATCTTAAACATCAAAATAAGAAGATGTGGTATGATTGCCAATGAGACAGCTCTCGACCAGAGACCAAATGATGCAAAAATTAACAAGTTTAGGTCACCGTACGGCCTTAAATGTTTGTCAAAAAATTCAAATGCAGTGTCTCAAGGTTCTTTTTAATTCCAAGGACGGAGAGGACGGATATAGCAGGACTTTATCCCTTTGAACATGACTCTTGACCAGCTTGAGACTGCAATTTGTAGAATAATATGGCACGTTAAATTCATTGGTACATTAGTGACACAATCATATATATGTATCTTTTTTTAATGTACAAATACATAAATTTCGTTTACGGATGAGTGTTTTCTCACAGAACATGTTTTATTGTCAAATTACAGAATTTCTTACAGATCGAATCTTTTGCAAATATAAAAAAAAGATGTTTTTTCTTTCAAAAACTAAGAAAACATAACAAGTATTTTATAATATTTTCGAATATAACTTTTTAAACTATATGGTATGAAATTATGAAAGGAAAAGTAGGGGTTAGCAGGCAAAATTTTTAATGGCACTACATGGATAAAACCAGAGGATTCCGAATATCTGGCATAAATTCAAAAACAAGAGGAGCGAACATACTAAACAGTCCCTCTTGATCTGCTTACCCTTTCTGAGCACATGAGATCACCTCCAGTATTGTTTTTTTTTGGGGGGGGGGGGGGGGGAGGGAGGGGGGGGGAGTCATTTTCAGTCTTTAGTTTTTAATGTAAGGATAATTATGCACACTTGTTTTTCCTTTTGACGTTTTCGTTTCTCTTCTACTAAAGAGATTTGAATGTCCGATTGGTATCTTCACCTCTCCTCTATTAATAAAACTATCATCATGGGTTTTTGTATCCTTAAATAAGAATAATGTATTAAAAATCAAAGAAGAAAATGGTTAACTACAGAGAAAAATACACTATTGATCAAGATCAATATGTTTATTACAGAACATTTAGTGAGCTCAACAATAGCAAAGCGCTCCATTTAAAAAAAATAATAAACGAGTCTGTATATATTTACGGGAAAACGTTCCTTCTTTTTTATCCAAAGCAATTTGTGAGCAGGGTTGTTTATTGTTATGAAAAGTGTGATTAATGTTTATACTTACCATTGTGAAGACTTTGTAGATCACTCCTTGTACTGAATGATTTTGATAAGAAGGTTAAACCAAATCTTAGACAATGTAGATATACTAAAATCATGAAGTTCATGACCATGTGTGGTGCATTGGAGATATCGTTTATATGAATGAATTAAATGAAGAGCTATATTTTCCCAAGAAATATATATATTTTGTTGTTGTTGAATAAAGTGCTATTAGTTATTGTTTAGGGCGTATTAATCAAGGTTCGTTTTAAATAATTTTCAAGGCTTTGGCAAATATATGAATAAGCTTCAGTCATGTGTGTTACTTTGGGCGCTTTCCAATACTTTTTTAAACTAGAAAACAAGTTATAGTTTTCCCCTGAAATATACCCACTTTCAAATATAAGTGTGCTACTCGTAGACTCAACGCATCTTTATTCTTAGATAAATCATCACATTTTCCATATTTATACTTGGGGAAAGGAACAGCTTTTTTTAGCCAGCCTCCCCCTATTTTTCAAAATCCGTTATTGTTTTTCTTTGAATTTCAATTATTTTCGCGTTTTTCTGTGATATATTAACATACATATACTAGAAATAACATGTATTTACGATTTACCATCAATTCCTAGTTCACTTTCCATAGCGGTCACTGATACTCTCTCTAGATATTATCAGTGACCGCTGTGATAGTTAACTAAGTAACTTCCAGGTACCTATGGGTTCGGCATGATTAGATTGATATTTTTACCTTCAAAAAGGTTCTGCAAATTTCTCCTCAATTTATTATTTTCAAACAAGGGGCATTTAAAGACTAAAATACTTGTGCGAGTTTGTTTTCCTGTCTGCGCAATAGAAATCAGTATTATCATTGCGGTTTGAAAAAGGATCAGACTGAGTCATTAAATCTTCAAAAATCTTTCAAATTGCAGTTTGGAGCTATCCTTAGACATTGATAATTTGTTTATGACATTTTGTAAACAATAAACGCTAGCACGTCACAGACAAACAGTTGAGTAATCTACGTTTTAAAATTGATAATGAAAATCTCTGTGATAAAGTCTGTGAACAAAAATTGTGGTTTTATTTGCCACAAAATCCCCGTTTTTCTATTAAATGCAATGAAACAATAAATAGTATTGCGTTGATCTACTTTTCCCATTGGTATATGCACAAAAAAGCATGTCACTTTTATTCTGCATTTTTGCTGTATTGATGTTATAGCACTTTGAAAATTTGGTAATACACAGGCCTACATAAGAGTCATAAACCTTAAGTACTTGTTTGTAACTGAGCTATTTTTGAGTTTATGTCATATAAATGAGGGTCTAGATGGGGTCCTCCATTTCTGTATTCTTTAATTTTTAGGCCATTTTTCTCTTTTCTTTATACTTTTTAATAATTTTTCATTATCTTTTATATTTTAGCACCTCGTTATTCTCTATTCTTTATTTTTTGGTCCATTTTCTGTATCCTTTTTATTTTTTATCCATTATTCTCTATTCTGTAAATGAGGATCCACACCCTCATAAATAGGTAAATAACTTAATTCATAATAATATTATTATAATCATTTTTATTCAATATAAAGTTTCTTCCATAAATATTCATAATAAATACCACGTTTTAATATCTAGTTTTATGTACACTTAGCCTACACAAGGTCAACATTAACTATCGAATGCATGTCAAATCGGATTTAAACTACTGTAACATATAAACATTGATTTTTATCAATGGGAACGTAGCAGAGTTTAGTTTAATACATAACACCGTGTTAAGCTCAATGGGAACACGGCCTTAATCTGTACACCCTCACCAGATAACAAACATAAAGTAAACATATGCACTAAATGGTGCGCCTACCGTTGATGCAAGACAATAGGATTGATTGTTGTTTAACGCCACTTTCAGCACTATTCAAGACGATAGAAAGAGGTATGATAAGTGCCATTATTTGGCTTTTGAAATTGAAAAAAATAATAATAAAGATGTCCTTAATTATTCCAAATTTTGTTAGTTTATTGATAAATGAATAGGATTATACAAATTGGTCACTTTAGTCCAGAAATGTCAAAGAAAATGTCAGGAAAACTGACAATCCTTGTGAATTAAGATTGGAGTCGAGCCACGTGCGGGGTTCGAACTTACAACCTCGGTGTTGACAGGCTAGTGATACAATAGTTGAACTAGTATTACTTAGACCTCTCAGCCACTGAGGCCACTATAAATCGTATACTTTCGGCTTTTTATAAAATTTGTTGTGTTGTACACAAAATTATCTTTAGTTACCGAGTGCTAGTATTCTAACGTATAAAAATAAGAAGAGGTGGTATGATTGCCAATGAGAAAACTCGCCAACATAGACCAAGTGACTCAGACGTAATTAACTAGGTCAACGTAAGGTCTTCAACGATGAACACCAATTCATACTGTACCTGACTACGCAATATATGACTGATTTCACATTGCGTAATTCTTATCTTATTCAATATTCAATATGACCAAATAGGTTCAATCTCGCTCGATTTATTGCGTGTTCTCATTCAATATAACCTCGAGGTACTGAAGAATCTAAATCGCTAACCTTGGACTGTAGAGAATAATAAAACAAAATTTCTTTGGTTTACGAATCTTTTCAATCATGATTGATTGAATGTTGCTTGCTTAATGTCCGTTGTCCGGTGGCAATAATTATTTTATGCATATTCATGAAGGTATTAACGATTTTAATTTTAATTTTAATACAATATAGGTAAGTTCTGCCAAGTGCGCACGACACTTTTACTACCGGAAACACATATGGACTCATCAAAGAGTTGCTGCAAGGGTTCTTTAACGTGCAGAGACCGTGGTCATCTTTCTACACGAGGCATCGTATATAATGTTCCAATTCTGACCGGCCGTGGCTTCGAATTTATACATCTCATACTGCCTTTCTTTGGTAAGGGTTTACTGCCGGTCGAAGAAGACTTTGGTTACCATATTTCTATACCCCAGTCATTTCGAAGTCTTTTTCTAGCGAAAAAAAGATCTACAAAGGTCTGCTCATTTTCACAAATAATTTTTTCTCTTGAATATCATACTTTTCAAGATAATAGCTTATAATGTAAAATGGGTAAAATTCGTGATTTAACAGCAAATCTATAAACATTTTAGTCAAATTCACCTATTTGTAAATCTTGCTTGTTGATCATTATTGCTTATCAAATATAAAGATAAGAAGATGTGGTAAGATTGCCAATGAGACAACTCTCCACCAGAGAACAAATGACATAGAAACTAACAACAAAGTTCATATCTATCTATCATACTTTTCAAGATAAACATCGAAAGACAACATAAAAACACTTCATGTTATTTATCGTTTTTTTTTTTTTTTTTTGTGTTTTTTTTAATTTCTCTGTATCAACTATAGATTCTGCCAGAAACGCAAAATATTTTTAACAATAGATAATAATGGAAAAAATTATCATTCAGTAATTGTTATTGGTGGATGTCTGTCATATTAGATTTTCGTTTATTGATTTGCCATTTATTTTATCATTTGAATTACGGAAAGAAATTTGCTCATGGTTGATGGTAATACGCGTACGGTGACCTATAGCTGCTTACACGTACTTCATGTTGGATCCTCGTGCAAAGTTTTCTCATTTGCAATCATAAAACATCTCCTTTAACAATTTTAAATAACTCATATATGGAGTCGATAGAACGTTTCCGTCTTGACTTATTTTCAGATATTATTTGGTTGATATTTTAACTGTTTAAAGGTTCTTTTAATCTGTTACAGTATTTGATGAATATTGATAAAAACGCAAATAGGCTGAAAAGGGCAACTACTCGTATTACTCATAGTTAAATGACAATTACGGCCAATATAACTTATTTGTAGACATTGTATTCATAATTTTGATGATAATGTTTTTTTCTTTTTCTAATATAATTTTCGATAAAACACAAAACAGTAAAACACATCATTGAAGGGCAACAATTCCTAATAGAGTCGACTTAAAATTTCGGTCAATTCCATATACTTCGTAGATCTTATTTTACAGGTCTTCACCTTTTATGTTGCAATTTTCCCTTGCTTCCTTTGTACTTCTCCCTATTTGTCGTGAGTATAACTACTAGTCAAACTGTAAAATGTCTAAAATACCCATTGAGAGTTAAACCTCGATATGGTGTCGACTGACAATTTCAACCAGGCTGATTTGAAGATCCTATTTTTTAAGTTTAACGTTTATCTCTCTCTGATATAGTTTTCTTTGAGATTATAGCTAGCCAAAACACCCAAAAATGAAACGTCTTCTAACCAGTCGACTGACAATTGTTATGTTATTTTGACTTATTTGTAAATTTTATTTGTACTGGTCATTTTTGTAGTTAATATTTTCTCTCTGCATGGTTAATATTTATTCAATAATGTCTTTTAGAACAAACGACAGCCTATGAAATACATGGAATACAGACACGTGACTAGAGATATACACATGTGAACATGGTGGTGACTAAATGTATCAAACGAAAGCCTATAAAATACATGGAATACAGGTACCTGACTAGAAAGATACAAATTTACGCATGGCGATGTGTTAATGTATCAAACGACAGCCTATGAAATACTCAAAATACGGGCATGTGACTAGAGATATTCACACGTGAGCATAGTGATATCTAATAGTTTCTTTATTTTCAATATTGTGGTCTGTGGTCTCATTACCCTTTATATCATATTTCACTTCGTTCACATTTACATCCCTTCCTCCTGTGCCGAAAAGTAGGGTACATAAAATGAATCACTTTCTTGTAATCTTAGGACACGATGACATGATTGACGTTTGCAAAACTGAAAAAAAAAGATATGTAAAAATAAAATGTTAAAATCATTACACTTGGTATAAACAAGACAATAAACAATGCAAAAGTTTTTAAACTAGCTCATCATGAGTTGATTAAGAAGTGAGAACTATTGAAACTGATTTTTAAAACTTTGTGAATTCTTCCCATGTGGCGATTAAAGACTCTCCATCATATCCATGAGCACTAAGATAGTATTTCATTTGACTAGCGGAACGAGATTGTTTTGAAAACCTTCTTTCGTCAATCAATTCAATTCCTAAAAGATGAGCAGCTATTCCTACATACGTATCATCAATGCTGATTCTTTTAATATATGGAATTGCACTTGATATTCCTTTAACCACATCCATTGTGGTTAATATTGTTCCGCCTAATAAATAGTCCGGCCAATAATCGTACTGATATTCATCCAGTGAAATGTAAGTTTTTTCATGAAAACATAATCGGATAGGTTTCCAGCATTGACCTCGATATCCATACATCTTATTTGAAATGTTAAATTTTGATAACATTCGTACATAAGATAATATTCCTTTCATATTGAGGAAATAGTCATCGTCGATGAATAAAACGTATTGAAGATGAGAACAATGAACATGTACCCATCTGAAGTTCAAAGATGTTTTATATATATTATTTCTGTACACGTCATCAAATGATCCTTGAATGATGTCATTATGCGCATGAATTTCTTCATTAATCTCATCTTGTACTTCTGGTAGGTACCCAAGTGAAAAGTAAACATAAATATCTGAATTTTCGCCATTTCCCCAGGTTCTTCTTATTGCTGATCTATGGCCATGGTTACTACATTTCGATTTTACAATTACCAACAAAGAAACAGGTTTATTGCAGGCATTTATAGGCGAATTTATTATTCTATGTAATCGATAGACATCATTGATTTCTTTTGTATGTGTAGTACCTTTCTGTTTTAGTTCTTGAACAATACTACTGACATTTCCGAAAGGATACAGGTATAAAAATGAATCTTTGAATTCTTCGCATTTAAGATAATCAAAGTAAAGGTATGTTCCAACAAATGTTATAACTACACATGTACACAACGTCAAATTTTTCACCAATCGAAAAAGACGCAAGAAACTAATATCGATCCTTTTCATCCTGTACACACCGCGTGATACAAACATCAGATGTTGCGTAGATAACCTGTAAAGTTAATAAGGAATCATAAAAAGTAATGTTTATTCACCGTTTATATATGTATGACTCTAAAGCGCGATGGTACTCTAAAGTGCGATGGTCACGCTAAAGTGCGATGGTCTACGGTAAAGTACGATGGTGTCTCACGCTACAGTGCAATGGTTGTTTGTTTGCAAAAGTACGATGGTATATCACGCTAAAATGCAATTGACCAATAGGATAAGGTTTGAGGGATTCATGTATTTAAAAAAAAAATAGTCTTTTTGCAAAAGCTAGTATGCTAATGTATAGCATATGTGTGATAGGCTTTATAATTTACCGGTAGGCTTGAGTGATTGTTTCTAAATTTATATGACCGACCACGTAATAATTGCTAAAAAGATAATTTAGGTGTCACAAAATACTGTATTTCCTGTTAATTGAAAGAAATTTTAACAATTTGGGCGTATTAAATATTTGGATAATTGGTGTAGCTTGCCGTTCACACAGTCTATCAAGAATCTGAACACCCCTTACAGTCGTTATTGTAAATTACAAATACAAAATGCGTTCATTGTCGGAATAAGTAAAATTTATTTGTACAAGGCTTGAAGCTTTAATCTAAATGCGAGAAAAATGCGATATTCGCCGAGCTTTCTCCTTTTTTGTAACGAGTACAAATACATGTTATATTTTCCTACACTGTACAAACTATGTTTTAGCCGACTATTTATAATTTACGCTTAAAAACATGTACCTTTGTTTTACCGACGTTATTTTCAATAAAATCGACAATATTTAAACGGGGACCGCAAAGTAAACTGCAACGTAAACAATGATTAAAATGTTTCCGTTCGCTTCTAATAGAAGCAGGATACAGGATACCTATGCGTATACAATTTTGTATCTATATAGTAAAAATGTCGACTGTAGGACACAAGTCCTTCTTCCAGCACCCAAAAACACATTTGCTTCAGCCGACAAAGCAGGGATTAGGTCTGAAATTAAGTCATGGACATTTGGTTTAAAAGTTGTTAATCAAATATTCTTAATTTATCTGCCGGCATATTCATTTTTGGTCTGTATTATAAATGACTGTTAACGTCATAATCCAACTACGTTTCTTACGTCTATACTTTCCCGGACCATCGGACTTTAGCGTATGGAGACATCGCACTTTAGCGCAGACCATCACACTTTAGCGTGACCATCGTACTTTAGCATCGGATTATCCCCATCGCACTTTACAGTCCTTCATATATATATGCAAGACAAAATAAATGTGGGTTTTTGCTATGATGTTGTCTGTTCTTTATCTGTGAGTGAGTTTTACCATGGTTGTTGGCCTTATTTGAATTTGGATAATCTTTTTATGGCTCTTTTGATGAATACGGTTTTTTTTACACTACTGACTTTCAAATGTTTAGGCTTGCCCATTCCTGATGAAGTATAAGCATAAGCGCTTGCGACGCACGAAATTTATTAAATGTTATTGTCATTGTCTATTTTATCATCTCTTTCTATATTTATGTATATGAGTTGTTCAGTTCGGGGCAAAGGCATATCTATATATATATATATATATATACATTTCAAAAAGTTTATTTGTGATTACTTTTGATTATTTACGTTGTAGGGGAATGCAAATGGTGATGCCAATAAATGGTGGTATGCCATTAATCAGTGGCCAAAAAATGGTGATATGCCATTAATCAGTTGCCAATAAGTGGTGGTATGCCATTAATCAGTGGCCAATAAATGGTGGTATGCCATTAATCAGTTGCCAATAAGTGGTGGTATGCCATTAATCAGTGGCCAATAAGTGGTTGTGTGCCATTAATTAGTGGCCAATAAATGGTGGTATGCCATTAATCAGTGGCCAATAAGTGGTGGTATGCCATCAATCAGTGGCCAATAAATGGTGGTATGCCATCAATCAGTGGCCAATAAATAGTGGTATGCCATTAATCAGTGGCCAATAAATGGTGGTATGCCATTAATCAGTGGCCAATAAATGGTGGTATGCCATTAATCAGTGGCCAATAAATGGTAGTATGCCATTAATCAGTGGCCAATAAATGGTGATATGCCATTAATCAGTGGCCAATAAATGGTGGTATGCCATTAATCAGTGGCCAATAAGTGGTGGTATGCCATTAATCAGTGGCCAAAAAATGGTGGTATGCCATTAATCAGTGGCCAAAAAATGGTGGTATGCCATTAATCAGTGGCCAATAAGTGGTGGTATGCCATTAATCAGTGGCCAATAAGTGGTGGTATGCCATTAATCAGTGGCCAATAAATGGTGATAGGCCATAAATCAGTGGCCAATAAGTGGTGGTAGGCCATAAATCAGTGGTCCATAAATGGTGGTATGCCATTAATCAGTGGCCAATAAGTGGTGGCATGCCATTAATCAGTGGCCAATAAATGGTGATAGGCCATTAATCAGTGGCCAATAAGTGGTGGTAGGCCATAAATCAGTGGTCAATAAATGGTGGTAGGCCATAAATCAGTAGCCAATAAGTGGTGTTCGGCGGATGCCACATGTGGAGTAGAATCTGCTTACCCTTCAGGAGCACCTGAGATCCCCGGTTTTTGGTGGGGTTCCGGTTGCTCAGTCTTTAGTTTTATATGTTGTGTTTTGTGAACTGTTGTTTGTCTTTCCGTGGTTTTTCGCCAGATTGACATTTTCAGTTTGTTTTTCGACTTTTGAGTTTGCATCTCCCTTTGGTATCTCTCGCCTCTCTTTGATATTTTATCATATTGTACGCAATTCGTAAATTTTACTGTTTAGTCATAGCAACACGTTTCCAAATTAAATTTCCTTGATGGTTAGTCCAGTCATAAAAACAGCTATGCTCTTCGAATAAAGATAGGTATTGATTGTAAATAATGCATTCTAAACATATTGACTTGTAATCAGTTTGTTTTCAGGTTGAACCTTTACCAATTGGTATAATTGCATTTGCGCTAATGTAATTTGAAAAAAAAAATATAAATTCAAAATTAAGATGATTTTCTATGATCGCCATTGAGACAACTGTATATATATTCATCACAGACCAAATGACGTGGATGTAATCAACAATAAGTCATCGTGCAGCCTTCAACAATAAGCAAAACCCATACCGCATAGTACTTTATAACAGCCCCCGAAATGACAAATTGTAAAACAATTCAAGCGAGAAAAAAAACAACGGTTAGTCAGATTTATGCACAAATCAATACGTGAACAAAATAGACAGCGACCGACGACAACCACTGATTTACAGGCTCCGGACTGAAAACTGGTACATACAGAATCAGTCAGGAGCCTGTTATTCAGTGGTTGTCGTTTATTGTTGTACATAAAAATTTGTTTTTCGTTCATCAATTTATACATAAATCAGGCCGTTAGTTTTCTCGTTTGAATTGTTTTACATTTGTCATTTTGGAGGCTTTTTGTAGCTGATTCTGCGGTATGGGTTTTTGTTCATTGTTGAAGGCCGTACGGTGATCTATAGTAGTTATTTCTATGTCATTCGGTCCCTTGCGGAGAGTTGTCACATTGGCAATCATACCACATTTTCTTATTTTTATAAATACAGAATGTGGCGGTTATTGTCAATAAAGTTTCATACTCTGTGCTTAATTTCCAAATCCTTCTGACACCCCTTTGAAAACTTCAACAAACATTTCATTGTATATTAGGAAATATTAGAAAATAACTTACCCGGAAGTTGGTTGAACGAAGTTTTCCTTCTTCTATTTTAATTTTGTGGCAAAAGTGGAACTGTAACTTCAAAAGACACATAGTTTGTGTACAACTGATAAATACAAATAGAAATATGTCTTCCTATGTCCAAAACCATATCCTTCACATGGAATACTTTCTTTTGATTAGAAGTGTTTGGTCAATTGTACACAACTGCAGTGTGCAATGTTCGGATTTCATAGTTTAACACCTACCATCAAAATCCTTGGTTGTTAATAATGTACAAGAGAAGGTACTGCTATATTGATCTGGTAACTATGTAATATGTACATTTTTGACTGTTCATGATCCTACCCTACTCTCAACCTCAAACTATAAAACTATGTGTTTCTTTGATCGTTTACCCTTATTCAGTTGATAAATATAAAGTACCTTGATTTATTATACCTCATAAAAGCTGGTCGATAACTGTTTATGATACATAATTGTGTTTACACTGTACACCATTGACGATTGGAAGATGTCTTTTATCGTGAGAGTTCATTGAAAATAAGACAGAAAACCATACAATTTTAAGAATGACAAATGTTTTCAATTACTAAATTAATATGTCACCGTAAAAGACCATATGGATTGACAAAAAATGTGAGCAATTACAAAGAGAAAATCAACGGCCTAATGGGCTAAAAGCAATATGAAAAAAAAATTGTTGGCAGACAGCAACAAAAGATAACAAACCTTTTTTGGGGTAATGCAAAATTGAGTGGCAGTAGGTGGGATATTGGTAAAAGAAAGTTTTGAAAAATTGAAAAGCTGAAGTCCTCTCTTTGTCGTTAAGGTTTGTTCTCAACTGACCCTCATTGTCAAATACTAGATGTAAGTCTATATAGAAGGCAGACTTAACTATGTCTTAGTACTTTTTATTTCTAATTCGATGGGATATGCATTAGTGATTCCCTTTAAACCGACATAATCACAAACTTTTTAAAAATTTAATTAAACTATGCAAATTACAGTTTCAAAGTCAATAGATCATTATCAAGGGAACGGGGCCAAATAATCGATACATGGTAATCAGATGTGTCAACGCCAATTCAACTGCTCTCAGAAATGCAAGACAACAGCATACATTTTGCTAGTAAGTTCTGTAATAGGTTGTGGGGCGACATTATAGGACTTCTACAACACTGAAAAAATTTAACAAATATATCATTTTATTGATACTCGTTCTACATAATATAACAGATTCAATACACTTGACTCTCTGTCATCCATTTTATTGATACTCATTCTACATAATATAACAGATTCAATACACTTGACTCTCTGTCATCTATTTTATTGATACTCATTCTACATAATATGACAGATTCCGTACACTTGACTCTCTGTCATCTATTTTATTGATACTCATTCTATATAATATGACAGATTCCGTACACTTGACTCTCTGTCATCTATTTTATTGATACTCATTCTACATAATATGACAGATTCCGTACACTTGACTCTCTGTCATCAATTTTATTGATACTCATTCTACATAATATGACAGATTCCGTACACTTGACTCTCTGTCATCAATTTTATTGATACTCATTCTACATAATATAAAAGATTCCGAACACTTGAATCTCTGATATCAATTTTATTGATACTGATTCTACATAATATGACAGATTCCGTACACTTGACTCTCTGA